CAGGGACTACACTGTAAGCTAGGAAGTCCTTGAGAAATTGTAAAAGGGTTGAAATGCCTGACCAGCCATAAACAAACAGATTTGTGTGAAATACTCTCCTAAGACTCAGAAACGGATTCTCCATGCAAGCAGAGCAAGCTAATAATATTCCTTGCAGAGATCCAGAATCCACTGCACTGCTCCATTCTCTACCATCTTCCACTGTGCTCTTCATGTTATTTTGCTTTTTCTATATGCAACAATGAAGTGCAAGAGATGGCAGAACTCTCAATTCCCTTTTGTTAGCACAAGTGCAGAAAACTAAGTTTCCAGATTTAAAAAAACCCTGTCTATCTCTCTCTAGCATATTGACTTTCCCTTTTGAGAGCTTTTGTAATAGCACTTTTGAATCTCTGCTTATGAAAATAAACTACTACAAAAAAATTTTCAGAAGCCAGGTTCCTCCCTTCCTATACAGGTAAGAACCTAACCAAAGGTCAGGACATTCTGAAGTTTTCTGCCATCACCAAATTTGGGACCACACAGGAGTATTACGTCCTGTTGGTTTTAAGTTTTCAAGATGGTACATTTTTTTTTGCCTTACTCCTGTTCCACCTGCCTTGTTCACGCATACATCCAGTTTATGATATTCCTGATAATACCAAGCATTATGGCAAGATTACTTTTCAAGCAACATCTTGAATTTTTTTATAATCAGAATTTGAAGTTCTGCAAAAATAAATGCCTGTTTGCATTCCTCTTTCAAGATCTAAAAGAATCTATTCAAGAGTCAAGTAGAAATGTAATGCCCTCTTTTTATTCTCAGAAAACAAAACCCACCAGCTGCAAACTTATTTCCGTTCGGGCACAAACTTAACAGAGTAGATCCAGCATTTTAACATGTTATTATGGAAAAGAAGTGCCAATGAAGTTGTAATCAAAGAATTTTGGGAAATAAATGCAAAAACTCTCCATTAACAGTAAGCATCTTTATTGACCCTCTTACCATTCAACACTCATTTCATTCAATCTCCTAAACTGCTGAACTACTACAGTCCAGTTTAGCATTTAAATAAAAGAAAATGTATTTCAGTTTGACTTGTATAAAAAGTGTTATATCTGGGTAGCATAGAATTACAGTACTATTTTAAAAAGCCATAGACACAAATAATCACTACCTGTGATTTTGAAAGTTAAGCCCTATATATTTCAAAGGCAAAATTAAACACATATCTTCCATATGATGTTATGCTTGTAAAAATGCCTACAAAAATCTGTTTGTTCAGAAGGCAGAGCGGTTGGAAAGTATCTTCTATTTCACCATTTAACAAATGATACCACTTCACAAAAACTACTAGGCAGCAAAGTATTCCAGATAAATTTCACACATTAAAAAAACCCTGACACCATATAGTGTCCCAACAATTTCAGCAGGCAAACAGAGTTCAGTACAGCAACAAATCTTTGTAGTACAGACTAAAATTCACCTATGCATCATTTGTTACAATATTTAATTCAATGCTGAGGAAATTTAAAAATCAAATACACCTAGGAATCTAGCAGTCTGATACTGCTTATTCCCACTTCTTTTTTTTCCTTGCTGTTTTTAGAGTACGTCTTCTTATATTTATGTTACAAAGGGTATGCTACTTCCCGGTGTTTAAAACCTCTTCAAAATTTATTAGCAAACTTTGAGATGAAAGAAAATCGCCTTTGATAAAGATGATATAAAATGTTGGGGTTTTTTTGCTATCTTCTTCTGACCTTAATATTAAACTTCTACTCAAGCCAATAAGAATAAAATTAACCAGAGCTATTTTGTTGCAAGGACTCCAATTTCTATGCCAACACGAGTATTTAGACAAAATCATTTAACTTACCAAGTTAGCACTTGAGCGTATATTGAATTTCTTCTGGAATTCCTATACCCTACACAAGGTTAAGTTTTTCAACAGTATCCAAGAAGAAATAAAACTATCTCAGGGAATAGTAAGAAAAGCTACTGAAATACGTCCTTCATAACACATGCAAAATGACATCTCCTGGAAAGGCAAAAATTGTGGGTTTTTCTTCATTTATATTTCCCCTTTCTGCAGGATGGAAAGTTATTTTATTCTAACAAGCAAAAAAATTCATCACTATTACAAAATAGTTTTGTCTCCTCATGTCAGTTAGACTTAAGTTCTTTATCAGCATAAAGCATCTGTGTGAATACTGAGAAAGGGAATTCAGTTTGTAACAGAAATTCATTTATACCCATGCACAGTCTTTCTTCCCCACAAAAGAAATCCAATGTGGGAAATAATCCTTTAAAACAAGCCACTGAAAAAAAAAAAAAAACCAAGCCAAAAATAATACATAAAGCAGGAAAGCCTAAAGCAAAATACATTACTGAGACAGTGAATGGGATTGTTAGAAGAGATGAGAAGTTAGACCTCTGTGTAACTTCCACATGGCTGAGATCCTGGTTTTCTAGTCTGCTTGGATCACGAGGTTCTCAAAGCAGAAAGAGGGATTTATTTTTTTTTTATTCCCCTTCCCTGCCTGTGTTTTTAAAGGCATCAAAGATATCCAGGATGCAGTAAACATTTCATAAGGTTAATACAACTAAAGAGTTGACCAAAAACTTGAGTTCATTTTGTGAAATAAATCAGACTAGAAAAATGGAATAGCTTACATCAGAAAGGCAGCACACTTAACTCTTAAATAAACAAAAATTTTTGCTTGGATTGAAGCTCCACATTTCTTATTACATGTAACACAACCAGATCATCCAGCTACATTTTTTCCTTCATTAGCCATAACTTAGTGGGGAAATTCTGAGTTTACATCCTAGTTACTGAAGTCTTACTTTGGTAAAAATTTAGTTATGAAATGGCTGCATACAGGTGAAGGCAGATTTCACATTAAAAGGAGTGTTATTAATTACCATGCAATTTTTTGGTATTCTCTGTTCTGGAGAGAATTTATATATCCTTTCTAAGATGCAAGTGTTTCTGTTAACCAGCACTGGGATAAGAAGAGAGACAAGTCTTTTCACCCTTTTTATTAAAAGGAGAAAGTCAAATAAGAAACTAAAACAGGTATAATCAAAATTTCAATCTTCCTTCACTGAGGTACTTAACATTTTGAAAACTAATGATTGTATCATTTGCTAAATAAATGTATCAACCATCTTGAGACATCAAATTGTGTCATTCAAATATTTTAACAGAGTAAGAGAATTACTCATGGTATACACCCAAAAAGTTGGATGATACGTTAATAAGGTTTTTTAATGGTTGCAAACAAGCATAAATGACAAAAAGTGAAAATTAAAAAGCAATTAAAAGGTACTCAAAAAGTTCTTGAAGTTTTACATCCCTGGAAAACACTTTTTTTTTTAGGGACTGAAATCAATGACATCAGTAATATAAGGGGAAAAAGGCTCACCTTAAATCTAATTTACAACTCTACTTTGCTAATAATCCCAGGAATAATATTTTTTTAGAATAATACTATGTCCAAGAAGTGTAGCTTTAGTGATTTATTTTTCTACAAGTGAACTTTCAGGAGACAGTAAAACAAGAAAGGCTCAAGATTTCTTTTATCTCCTTAATGACTGGGTGCACTTTGTAGCAAGTGAGCTCAAGGTAACAAATCCCTTGGAAAAAAAAAAGGAAAGGGGAGGGCGTGAATGTGATGTTCATGAAGGATACAAGCTCGATAGCCCTAAACACCAAGGCCTTCCTTTAATTCTTAAGATAATGTGGCACCAGCTCATAAAAGTAACTATCTCTTCTTAGCCACTCATTGTCATTTGTGATAGCAAGTGTTGCAATACTGACACAGGGCCCTTGGCCTCTCCAAACCAAAATAACATTTGTTTTCAAGACAGCAAGTTCTCATTGTCATGTCTTCAAGTTGGAGCAGAATTGTAATTATTTTGTTCTACAGTAATACTTACAAAAGAGTATAAAACAAATTGGAAGGCCCACCTTGTATCCGGAAGACTCAAAAACAGTTTTGAGCTTTTCTTCATTTGCAGAAACTTTTCATACCTGCTAAGCCAATGCGGAAGTATGTGAGCCATAGCTCAGTTTCTTAAAAACAGTCGCATTACCTAGGAAAACACAGCATCTGCTCAATCCCTAATCACATTTGAAATGTTAAAGAACAATCTCCTATGATCTGTTTGTGCAACATCAGACCAACTGTCTATTTCTAAAATGGAAGCTATTTTTCAAATAACCACCTAACTGAATAAGCTGAGAAAGAGCAGAAAAAAAAAGCAGATAGTGGCAATTTCTACAAAAGAATCTTTAAGAGCACATACCTTTAAGTCCTGATTTTGTAACCCAAATTTTTTGGGTCACTGTCAATCAACATTTCTTGCAGACTGTAAGATACCCTTAGAGAGCTTTACTGAAAATACTGTAAAGGTGATAGCATTTTGTGACCCAAACATAAAAACCACAGTTCGTGGATCCACCATTTGGCAAAAGTCATCTTAGGAAAGGGAACACGTACAAGATATTATCATTACTGCACGACACCCTTGATATTTTACAACTTCCACAGAACAGTTCGTTCCTTAAGCCCCAGAAGTGCCAGAGAACAGTCACTTCAAATTATTTTTACAGCTGGAAATCGGCATTTTTTTCAGAATTTAAAATAGCTGTAGGTAAACAGAATTAGCAACATTTGTTCTGAACAAAGCAGCACATTCTGTTCCCCCTGCCCCCTCCCCAAAACAGAGGCAAAGTGCAGTTACTTCTCTCATCACAGCTCCCAGGCCAAGGACACTGAAGCTTTGTAGATTGAAAATTCCTCCACGCACATGACGCACAGTTATACAATTGAGCAGGGCATCCAGCACAAAAGCATTTACCAAGTGCTGAGAGATTTTACTCAACCTGCACTTTTCCTGTGTACATTAGGAAGAAATTTAAGGTATTAAGCTGCACTTAAGATTATGCAATTTTAATGACAACAAAATCAATAACATATCAGAAAAAAAGAGAAACAGATACTGCCCAAGATTTTAAGAGATTGGTTGAGCTAAGACATCCAAGAAGAACTGATGCCAGACAAAAAAATTTTTAAAAACCCTTTAAAGTTGTCGGACTTTTTTATCAGTGCTTTTAATATTGACGTCCAGTGTCTCTACTTTTTTTGTTAGCCGATCCAGCATATCATCTTGCTCATCTATTTCTGTCTGCAGACCAAGAGCTAGGTTTTTCAGACGACTCAACCCAGAAGACATCTCATCTGTCAACAAAGAAAAGGACCATAAGGAATCAAAACAGTACAAAGCATAATGTTTAAATGGAAACTATTCAGGATTCCCTCTTCTCCAAAACCCTGGGTTAGAAAATGTTAAGTTACAACTGCTGAAGTGTGAGTGTTCTTCTCCAATAGTGGAAGCACTGATATTTTAATACATCTACCGCATTACTACCAGAAATAATCACATCCTCCTTTTTTCCCCATTACAAGTTAACTACAAATGCTTAAAACCAGATTGGATCTTTATAAAACAACATACCCTGTAATGTACTTTTCACTTTAAAAAAAATTATTTTACAGAAATTTCGGTACATCTTTTCTCAGTTCAGTATACACACTACCTCAGTTGTTTTTCTTTAAACTTCATGCAGAAATATCATAAATACACTGTGGATTTAAGCACTTAGTTATTTCACATAGATGGAAAAATCTCATTTCCAGATTTTCTAATTTGCCTACAAGGAAACTATTTTATTGCATGATTGATCAGTATAAATGCTTTTGAGGCTAGTAAGTTTTGCACTGCTTGGGAGTAGAACAAATGCACTTCCACTAACTCTTATGCTTGACTATTTCTCTTTGATCTATTCCTTCCTATCTTTTCTTTCTAGGTCAGCTAAACAGTGACACATGTAAGCAAAGAGACACTTTGTATATATGCTACAGAACAAAGGAAGACAAAGTCAGCTGAATGGTTTTGGGAAGTAATAAAACAAATGCAACAAATTCACAAATTAAATATTTAGTGCCTTTTGATTATTCTATCTTCTGCAAAACATATTTATTTCAAAGCCTGCGCACAGTTACAAATTCTTTGGGTCCAAACTAATGTACAATTTAATATGCGAGTTTAACTGTCAGTTTGGTAAGTTGAATGCATCTTTCAATGTAAGTGGTAAGCTTTAGAAAAAGAGGTAGTAAGTATCCATACTGGTATAATCTGAATGTCAATTTGAAGCAGTATTTCCTTATTAATATTACTAGTACCTGCTTAGTAGGATTTTTCAGAATGGATGGATAAGCCTGCTTGTCCCAGTGATATTCCAGTCAATTTATAGGATGATTCAAAGAAACATTTTCCTATCCTGAATGCAAGTGTTACGGGATACTTCAGCACCATTTCCTCATTCAAATGACAGAGACGTGCTAGCATATTCACATTTGGTAAGAGTGTCTTCCTTATTGTCAATGTATGATGTAAGAGGACTCATGCTTTTGGTATGGGTTTTTTTTCCCCCTGGTCTCTTTGCTCAGGGACAGTTCAAAATCTAACTATTTCTAAAGCACAAGCACGTTGCAGAAGAGTTGAAGTATAGATGCCAATAGCATATAAGTTTCCACAGATTTATACTAGTCCAGGCAGCCTAGCCAGCTTGTTTCTGGCTGGTTTCACATGAAATGCATTTCTAACTCAGATTTATTACTAATATTTGCAAGTAGTTGACCCACAGACATCCCACAGCATTCTACCATTCAAATAATGTATGTCTCAATCAAACTTTGGACTCTGCCATGTAGATAGTTTTGAACTGCAGAATACAAGCAAATTATTTTTTTTTATCATCAAATTTCACATATGAGCTAAACAAAAAAGTGTTTGTTGGCAATATATTACTTAGTAATTTACTCTGGCTTAAGAGCCAAAAATTGAAAATTGTACTACATCAAACAGCTTCAATTTTTTCACTTACCTAAGTTGTTATCAATTTTCTGGTGGTAAGCTCGCAGGTGTTGGTTCTTTGGATAGGAATCCCTTTGCACTGAAGAAACGAAATCTGCTTTGCTGAAATCATTGTCTGTTAAGAGTATAAAATACAGAATATTATATAATAAAAAAAGCTAGGAAGAAGAGGCTTTAAAGTTTTAGAAGGGCTATTAAAAATTAGTCTGACCACAGCTGCCATGTAATCACATAACCTGTTAGCAGGAATATCAAAAGTAGTCCACCACCACGATCTACAGGGCACCCCTCAAGATGAACAGTTAAGTTACAATTATTCTTTTTTGGGCTGCCTTTTGTAGTTCTACTAGATAGTTGAGAGAAAAGAGGAAAAAAAACCCAGCCATCCAACCAACAAAGCAGGTAGGTTAGTAACTTCTACCAGCAGTTAGCATTCCCCGAGGTCAAGCCACCAGAGAGTTATTTCTGCCCTCTACTGGACAGACTTTTAATATTATATGGAGTGGAATGCAGATTAATGGTACCAAAAAGCATTTCTTTACTTACAGAACTACAACTATAAAGATATCCTACTGCTTTCTCACTCTTACTAAACTAAGTAATTGAACCTCACTTTAAAAAGGAACAGTTACTTTGTACATAAAAGTCATCATGGAAGTTAACGCATTGTGAGAACGGGGAACAAGACCAAACCCCGTACACTTCCTTGCGTGAATCAAGTAATGACTTCAGTATGAAGGTTATAGTCCATGTTTGAAATAACAGGGAAAACATATCTGAAAACTATGACAAATGATGGTTAAAAAGAAGAAACTCTGAATAGATAAATTAAAATTTTGGCAAACATAAGACAAGGCTGCCTGCACCTTGTGTGGATTCTTGGCTATAGTCTCCTCTGTGCAAATATAAGCACTGGATGCTTTTAAAGTCTTCAGTGGATATAGCATAAATCCCCCACAGGGAGGGCTAAATAAAACCCATATCCAAGTAAAAAAAATTGCACATCTTCAGTATGGGCATGAAGAATTTTAGGGGAAACAATTCCTTAGAATTCAAAGCCATGAAGTCTGGGTTACATTAGGCAGCAACGTAAGTCAGCAGTTGGGCCAGCTGAAGGGTCTCTGCCTTCACCACTGTGCAAGTTTGCCCCATGTTGATGATAGACATTCAATGTAAAGTAAAGTTAACAAACCTGAATTATCTAGCTTCCTTAAATTTGGATGACTTTCCTGGTATTTTGACTCTTGTTCTTTACTAGACATCATTGCTTCTTTTAATCTAGTAATAAAGAGAATAAAAAGAAAACATTCTTATGGACCACAGGCCTCATTCTGAATCTGTTAAAGAAGAACAGGTATCAAATTTTGCAAGAGCAAATTTGTTAGACCTGATCCAAAATGTTCCTTTAAAATGAACTACTAGCATTTGTCTTCAGTGAAAGCAGAACTGGTTGCTTTAGTGCTGAAAATAGTGTATGGAAACTTTGATACCAAAACCCAAACTGTATCTTCCATCTTGGAGGCAACCTACTCCTTTTCTCTAGTGGAGGATGGAGGGGGAAGGGAAGGAAGAAATCAATCCATGCAGCATTACCAGGCTTTACATAAATTTCTCAGCTGAAGAGAGACAAGTACTGTAAGACACAGTAATTCCACAGCAATTAATTTTTATTTACATCTTTTAGTAGAAGCTAGAGAAATACACACAATATTTAACTGGAAGCATGTCAATGCTACAAATCATGATTCCCTGATAAGACTAAAGTAAGCATGATAATTCAGAAGACTCTGAAGAATTACTTGTGTAATTGGGTGTAATTGTTTGATTAATTTCCCAGAAATATGAAGTTACTCTTACCACTACAAATATAAACAAAAGTAAAAATCCTTTTCTCAGAGTTAAAGGAAAAAGGGAGCTAGACACCATCTCAGGAGTTTACTTGACAGAATCAACAGATCTTTTAAGTTGTGATTTTCTGGTGACATTTCAGAGATGCCACGGGAGATAAGTCCCAAGTAAAATGTTTATTTTACTTACCTACTGTTAGCATAATATTCAGGGGTTCCATTCTGCTCTGGCTTGCTCTCTGGAGGTTTGGCTTTGAAGTAGTTTACCAAGCCCCCCCAAACACTCTTAATGCTATTTATGTGCCTTTGACTAGTCTTCAAGTCCTGGTCCATTTTATCTACCATCTGTTCTGTACGCTTCAGGGCCTCTCCTTGACGTACAAGCTCCTAACAGGTATTGACAGAAAAAAAGAGAAGCTAGTAAAGCCAAGATAAACTGAAATATCAAACATATTTAATAGACACTATAAAGAAAAAAACATAGTTCCTTCATCCCTGTAGATTATTTCTAAAGTGATACAGCTTTTTCACTCATTCCTCTTCCTCCAGGGCATTTCAATGAAGAGCCATAGCATTAACCAGCTATAAAATCCTCATCACTAAGCAATGCCAGGTTCCTGACACCTACTCCAAACAGCACCCAGGAATTTTCTGTATTGTCTTTCTGTCAGGTTGACATTTGTATCTCTTCTTGATGGAACAAGTATGGCACCAGATGGGTGATTTAATAAAAATGCAAAGGTTTATGGCAGGGAAATGAGCAAGTAGAACTATTTCTAGTTGTGAATGACACCTTCATTGGTAAGGGATACTATTTTCATATTACTGGGATGTTCCTCAAAATTTAGAAACAGAATAACCAAAGGAAATAAACATAAATAGAATTTTTTCAAGTATGAAATAATTAGCAGGAATAATCTTTAGCTAATACTAACAGTGCGGGATTTAGAAATTGTGCAGCAGCACAAACACTGTTCCAAAGTAATCCAAAGATTAATTCTGGCAAGAAAGCTGCCTGCAGCTAACACTAGTGCAAAATAAAGAACTTGTGTACATATACGCTCTAAACTTTGGGGAATTCTAGTTGAATATTCCTCCCCCCTGCCCCCAATAAAGCAGCAAACACATACAATTCAAGTTTTACAAGGAGCCCTGTGTTAAGCCTAAATTCTTGATTCCTCATTTGTGCTTTTCTGGACACACAAATCACGAGTCTGCAAGTTCACAGAAGTGCCACTGAGAACTACTGCAGCTTGTGGATGCTCTTGGGTTAATTTAGGCAGCCGCGTTACTAATGTTCAAAGAAACATTCCATTAAGAGGTGACACGACGGACAAGAGCTTTATGAGCGACGTCTCCGGGTATAAACTCTTTTCTGAAACAAGGCCAGAAGAATGAAGGAAGTGATTAATCGGGATGAAGCGAGCACATCACAAACAACAGGGCAGGCTCTTCATTTAATCAACAGAGCTGCTGAAAACTTTTCAGTCAGAAAAAGATGGGCATAAATGCCATTAATAAGGCTTAGTAAGAGTTGTAAAAAGCAGCTGAAGGCACAGCTGAGTCCCAGCCTCAGGGCTACACATTTAGCGGGGACCTAACTGGGATTTTTTCCTCACGGCCCCGCTCCCGGTTCGCCCCCACCCCGTCCCCCGAGCGACGCTGCCCCGCGGGGCCGCGACCCACCTCGGAGGCGGCCACGCCGATCCGCTCGGACTCGTAGAGCAGCGACAGGGAGCGGGCGGTGCTGTCGGCAGTGGCGGCGGAGCGACGCAGCACCTCCTGCTGCAGGTACCGCTGCCGCTCGGCGCCGCCGCCCGCCTCCCCGCTGCCCCTCGCCGGCCATGTCACCGCCGCCTCCTCCTCCTCCTCCTCCTCCTCGGCGAAGGGGTTGTAGCTCCTCGGGAGGGCCGACATGGTGCCGCCGACAGCGGGTCGCGAAGGAAGCCCCCTCAGCCGTCGCTCCTCAGAGAGCGAACCGGACCGGACCGAACCGGGCCTGCCCCGCCGCCGAGCCCCCACCCCAGGCCGCGGCCCGCTCCGCTCCTTCCGCCCACAGGCCGCCGCCCCGCCCCGGGGCGGGGCGAGCGCTCCAGAGCACTGCTACGGGATACACCGTTGCTAGGAGGAACCACTGCG